ATGGACTACGAGTGGAATTTTATAAGACAATGCAGGAGTCGCTGTGTCTTCCATTACTAGAAATTATGAATGAGGTTATGTTAGAGAGAAGGATACCCAAATCATGGTCAGAAGCATATATTACTCTTATGCCAAAGGAGGAGACTGGCCCACTTCAAATTAAGAACTATATCTCCCTGCTCAATTCAGACTATAAGCTATTCACTTCAATATTGGCAGAATGACTTAAAAATTATCTAAATAATTTCATTCATCCTGATCAAAATGTGTTTCTACCAAAGAGACAAATTAAAGATAATATGAAAATAATTCCGGACACTTTGGAATATTATGAGGCACATCCTGAAAAACAAATGGCTTTGATGTTTTTATATGCACAGAAAGCCTTTGATAATATGAATTGGCAATTTATGTCATTACAGCTGGAACAGATAGGCTTTGGTAAGAAATTTACTCAAGCCATACAAACTATATACCACCAACAAACAGCAAAGATAATGATAAATGGAGAATTGACAGACTCTATTGAAATAAGTAAAGGGACAAGACAAGGCAGCCCTTTGTTATTTGTCTTAACATTAGAAGTTTTAAACAAAAATATTAGAGAAGAAAAATACATAAAAGGAATGAAAATTAGAAAGGAAGAATAAAAAATTGCAAGCATTTGCAGGTGATCTGGTCTTCATCTTCATCTTAGAGGATCCACTAGAAACTGCACCTAAATTGATAGAAAAAAAATAGAGGAATATGGAAAAGTAGCAGGTTTGAAAATAAACAAAGAAAAAACAAAGATTTTGACAAAGAATATAATATCAAGACAAAAGGAAGAATTGGTGGAAGCTTTGAAGATCCAACTCACGAATAAGATTAAGTATTTGGGGATATACTTGACAGCAAGATGTAATACACTAAAAGAGAACAATTACCATAAGCTGAAACAGCAGATTGCAACAGACTTGACGAAGTGGGAAAATTTACAAATACCAATGATAGGGAGAATATCCACAATCAAAATGAATATATTGCCCAGAATTTTATATTTGTTCCAGACAATTCCAATCAGATTAAGGACAGATTATTTTGATGACTTAAATAAAATAGTGTGGAAACATATTTGGCAGGGAAAGAAAGCAAGAATAAAATTAAAATTATTACAAAATGCTAGAATAAGAGGAGGATTTGGCCTGCTCAACTGGGAATTATACTATCAGGCAACAAGTTTAATGTGGGTCAAGGAGTGGATTACATTAAGAAATTCTAGATTACTGAATGTGGAAGGACATGATCTGTTGTTGGGATGGCACGCTTTCTTATGGTACAAGGGAACTAAAACACAGGGGTATTTCAGGAGACATTATATACGGGAGGCTTTGTTATTAAATTGGGAGAAGATTAAAAGGCAACATTACTTAAAAATTCCAGTCTAGTTATCAACCATTGAAGCATTTTCATATCCAATTATATATAAAAAGGAACAAACAGTTAGATATGGTGAAATATTGATTGCAGAGGGTGAACTTAAATCTATGCAAGAACTGGAACAGGAAGGAATAAAGATGAACTGGTTTTCCTACTTGCAAATACAGCCTAGATATGATAAAGATCTTAAAACGGAAGGTTTCCATGATAAAATGACTGAGATAGATAAAATTTTGACAGGTACTGATGAAAAGGTAATTAAAAAACTATATGGATACTTATTAGAGGTTAAGCTAGAAGAAGAACAAGTTAAAGAACCTATGATAGCTTGAGGGGAAAACTTTGGACATGGGATTGAATTAGAGAAGTGGCAGAAATTGTGGTCTCAAAATTATAAAATGACAATGTCAACAGCATATAAAGAAAATTTGTATAAGATGTTTTACAGGTGGCATCTACCCCGACAAGAATAGCAAGAATGTTCAAGAACAAATAGGAAAAGTGTTGGAAATGTAAGCAGACACCGGGTTCATATTACTATATGTGGTGGACTTGCATAGAAACTAAAATATATTGGACAAAAATCCACACTTGGTTGGAGAAAATAATACAAAAACAAATAGACTTTAAACCAGAGGTCTTTTTATTGGGAATCTTACCAGAAACATACAACAGAGAACTGAAATATTTGATTGTAAATGTGCTAACAGCAGCTAGAATTGTATTTGCTAAAAATTGGAGAAATGAGAAAATACCAATGCAGGAAGAAGTTATTCAGAAAATAATGGAATGTGCTGAAATGAGTAAATTGACATTTGAAATTAGAGAACAAGAAGATAAACAATTGTATAGGATATGGGATTTATTCTATTCGTGGTTAGTTTTAAAAATATGGAAGTGAAAGCTACTAGAGAATGCTGTAAGTATAAGAACATTGAATGATATAGAATATAACATAAAATATTTTATTACTGGAGATATTTGAGATGATGTATTGAACTACTTTAGTGTAAATGATCCAATATTTAATATATCTGGTCGAAAATGAAGAATAATGGTAATAATCAAATAAATGAGGTATAATAGTAATGTATATAAATATATCTGATTTGATAATATGTGATCTGATATGAATTGTTAGTGATGACTATGGAAGGGATGCACAGAAACCTTGTAACCAACTGACACACGGTTTGTAATGGAAGATGGCTTTATGTTTTTTGTTTCATTTCTTTATGTTTGTCTAAAAATAAAAACTTAAAAAAAAAGAAACACATTTTGGACCTCATCATTTTACTTCACAGTTATTTAATTATGGTTCCTCTAACAAGGGTTCCAAATAATCAGCCAACCCCAGCAGAATAATTATTTCTTTAAAAATTGCTTTGGGATAATTCCTCATCTGCTTATTGCACATAGCTAACTAACTATTGCCGCCATTGTTTGACAAATTAATCAATTAAATATTACCATGTTGTGCCTTTCTAAAATCTATAAAATATAATGGGCAGGAAAAAGAGACATGATCTTAGATTTCATTTAACTTTTATTTTATTGTCTACTTTGTAAAATAATGTAAATAAAAACCCGTTCTCCAATTTACAATATTTATCATGAAATAATCACAGTCTGCTGATTCAGGGGCTGTTTTCTTTAGTTCCTTGCATATTTTAATAAGAATGATGATCAGTACACCATGCATTATAACAGCCAGCATAAATAACTATAGAAAAAGAGAAATTTCAAGTGGTCAACTTGTAATAAGCAAAATAACAATGTTTTGTTTTATAACTGGATGCAGAGGCAGAAGTGAAAAATTATTCATATTATCTTTACTTACCAGAAGCATTCTTCTTGTAGAATATTGTTTTGAACTGAGTCAGGTACTAATCTTATGGAAATGTGCTGAACAAAACATAGAAATGGAAAACCACAGCATGACTCCTGTTGAGTGACAGCATCCATATGATATCTTTTATAGGCTTCTGTGGTAAAATCTGTGTTGCTTTTCTTGAAGCTTAAATGGAAAGAATTCTGGTTAAAGAGTTCTTCAAGCTAATTATTATACCATTTTATATTCATTCAGGACTTTGGCAAGGAGAATGAGATCTCTCCCTTCAATGTACTTACTTACTTACTTACTTACTTACTTACTTACTTACTTACTTACTTACTTACTTACTTACTTACTTACTTAC